GTCTATCTATGTGTCGCTCTACCTGTCCATGTGTCTATCTATGTGTCGCTCTACCTGTCCATGTGTCTATCTATGTGTCCATGTGTCTATCTATGTGTCCATGTGTCTATCTATGTGTCGCTCTACCTGTCCATGTGTCTATCTATGTGTCCATGTGTCTATCTATGTGTCCATGTGTCTATCTATGTGTCTGTCTACCTGTCCACGTGTCTGTCTACCTGTCCACGTGTCTGTCTACCTGTCCACGTGTCTGTCTACCTGCCCACGTGTCTGTCTACCTGCCCACGTGTCTGTCTACCTGCCCACGTGTCTGTCTACCTGCCCACGTGTCTGTCTCATCAATGCTTGCGGAATTTGCAGTGCCCTTTGTTGTACTGTGGGTGGTTGGCGGGTGCTCTGGTGTGGTTTGCTCCTTCTGTCCTTTCAAACATCTGTCGTCTTTATCTCTCCTCCTTTTTAAAATGTTTGTTACCCTCTTATAAAACCTTTAATCTTCGACACTTGTATGTGTTGCGAGTGCCGTAAAATTCTTACTAAAACGAAAACTTTGTTGTACTGTAGAAGATTACGTCCACAACGACACAAGTTAGGTCATCTAGGAGGCGGGCTTCTCACCTCCCAATTAGTCACCGAAACCATTGGTTGATTGGACGTTCTATTTCGGACAATGTCCTTCCTTATGCTCGTTTCCCAAGTGACGTTACTATTTTTAGCAGTTCCAATCGTTGACTCAGTGCTCCTGTACCACTCACGTTTCCCAAGTGACGTTACTATTTTTAGCAGTTCCAATCGTTGACTCAGTGCTCCTGTACCACTCACGTTTTCCTGGCGAACTATGGCCGTGTTGGCGCGCCACTCGGCTCTTGGCGACATCAGCAACAGTCACACAAAGAAAAACTTTCGTTTTCCGATATTTGGAACAATTGAAAAGACGTATTCATTTGCATGTCTTTTGTTAGGGTTTCTTGCTGCTCGTGGACGCTCAGAGAGGCATTACTGGCGGATGTCTGCTTTCCATGTCGGAAGTAAAAAATAGTGTCGGTTTTAAAAGTTATTTTAGGCATGGTAATTGTGAATTCAGTTATTTATACATGACCCCCCCCCCCAAATCTCCCCCTCCCTGTCTCTTACTCTCTCTCTCTCTCTCTCTCTCTCTCTCTCTCTCTCTCTCTCTCTCTCTATTACACACATACACACACACACACACACACATACACATAGCTCTCTATTTCTTCTCTCCCCCCATCTCTTT